TTTGGTATTTATTGTATTTATTTTGAATATTTCAATTTTTTTAAATGATAATCGTTTAAAGATTCTATCTTAATATTTTACTAAAAGGATTCTATTGTTTCTACAGACAAAATTCACGAAGAATACAAAAATAATAATTGCAATAATAATGTAATAACAATTTTCCCAATAAATGTATTTATAATTAAAACGCTGTAACACTTTGATCCTCGAAAATTTTGCAAAAATATTTCATTATTAACTAGTTTTGGAAAAATCAGTGTTCAACATCTCTCTTTTAAAAAATTTTAAAATTGCAGCTACTTTTAATATTCTACTCTCCAATTTCCAATAAAATCTCCAATATCATTATCATTATTTAATTTTCATCCCACCAATGTGTAAAAGTCTCTAAATTCCTGCCATTTTATATTTCTTCTCCATTCTTCGATAAAATCCTATTATACGTCGCCAAATATTTACTTAATAATAACAACAAATTAGTAATAACAAATAAGAAAAGTTTCGCAAAGAAACTTCCTTATTATTTCAAAATTCCTGCTATTTCGTACCTATTCTCTGTTCTCCAATAAAATCTTATTATGTATCATCAAATATTTACTTCATAATACATAAAATATTACTCCCACACAACTACTGAAATTTCAACGAAAAATTTCGCAAGGAAATTTCCTTATTATTTCAAAATTTCAAAATTCCCGCCATTTCATATCTACTCTCTGATCTTCAATAAAATCCTACTATATATCGACAGGTATTTACTTTATAATATATAAAATGTCACTCCTATACCTCTATTAAAATCTCAACAAAAAATTTTGCAAGAAAATTTCCGTATTATATCAAAATTTTTAAATTTCCGCCATTTCATATCTACTCTCTGTTTACCAATAAAATCCTACTATATTTCGGCAGATATTTATTTCATAATACACCCAATATCACTGCCATACCTCCATTAAAATTTGAACGAAAAATTTAGCAAAAAAATTTCCTTGTTATTTAAAAATTTAAAAACTCCCGCCATTTTATACCCACTTTCTGTTCTCCAATAAAATCCAACTATACACCGGCAGATATTTATTTCATAATACACCCAATATCACTCCCATATCTCCATTAAAATCTGAACGAAAAACTTCTCAAGGAAACTTCCTTATTATTTAAAAATTTCAAAATTCCCGCCATTTTATACCCACTCTCTGTACTTCAATAAAATCCTATTATACATCGGCAGATATTTACTTCATAATACATAAAATATCACTTCCACGCGTCCACTAAAATCTCAATTAAAAATTTTGCACAAAACCTTCCTTATTATTTAAAAATTTCAAAATTCCCGCCATTTCTTGCCTACCCTCTGTTCTCCAATAAATTCCCCAATAACATCAAACATTTATTTCGCGATATCAACATATCGTCTCCTTCGCATCTAGTAAAACCTACTTAACAATTTTACTAACCTCGTATCGAGTATAACTAACCTAACAAAGATTTCTCAGCTCGGGCGTCGCTCCTCTAAAATCCCCTACGAGGTCTCACGCAAGGTGGCAGGCCATTAGCCGCGGCAGACTAATTTTCCGACACGAAGCACGGAATATATATCTCTCTCGACTCCGTTTACATCCGCGAAGTAATGAGAAGAATCGATTTACGCGATGAAGAATACTCGCTGAGATTATTACCCAAGAAGGAAGCGCGGTCGTAGCTCGTGGCTCCGCCATGTTCAACGGCGGGAAATATGATCGTGGGAATACAAACTTCGGTAAATCATGCAACATTTCACTTAGAAAACACCAATAACGCATTCCAGATCCCCGAGTCGGCCTGTACAACGTAATTTCACCAACGATAAAATGAAGATTTGTGCACCGGTGCAAACCGATCAACAGGTAGGCCATCCTCCGCGTCCTTTGCATCGGCCTGCAATTCCCGGCGTACATCTAATCAAAACTAAATCTTCCCGACAAGGTAATAAACTCGACACATCTACGCACCACGGGACGCCTAATATTTCTTCGCGAGCTTCACCGCCACCAATAAATAAAAATCAAAGGAACTCCCTTTACGTCCGCCGGCCGGACCTATGTTCCCGTTAATCTCTTCCTGCCCTCGAAACTATTCAGCCTTCGAACGGCCAACAGTTCCCCGATGAATGGATTTATCTAACGAAATCACCGTGATTTCGATGCGAAAAGTAAGACCAAAGTGTCAATTTTCTGAAAGGACCGAGGAGGATTGAATTTTTATTTCGGTGAGAAGGAAGTTTGAAATTTTCTTCTTAAGTATGTTTCCAGTTGATGGAATTTTTGTATTACTGTCGTAGTGACATTTTGTTTTTGCAAGTATGGTTGTAGACTATAGTAGTACAATCTTTGTAAATGAAGTTTGTTTTATTATAATTTATATATTCATGTGAACTTGTTATTGTGGTACAAATGTGTAATTGTATATGTATAGTAATCGTTTTGTATGTTATTTTTCTCGTATTTTATGCTCTCCTACGTTTTTCGAATGTATTGAATATAGAAAATTTTCATTTCATTATATTTTTCCATTTTTATTTAATGTTTCACCTGGGCAGTAGGAACTTATGATTCCAATTAGGTATATGATAGTACCTTGTGAAATTACGAACATGAGTACATGTAGAAATACTTATAATCATGCAGTAGCTAAAAATTTCACAAAGAAAAATTATGTATCAAATTTTTAAAATTCGTATATAAGAATTTATTTATTTATAATTTTTATTTTTACTTAATGTTTCACAGTTTAATAGGTATGGCTTCGATTAGGTGTATGATAGTCCCTTATGAGATTACGAATATAAGATCATTAGAAATACTTATAATTATATAGCAGGAAATATTTTCACAAAGAAAAATTCCCAAAAATTGGGAAATTTTTCAGAAAGGGAAAAATAGAGTTATCGTAAATCAGCATAGATATTGAAATAGAAACTCTGTAATTTCATAATTGTGATGATAAAATACGGTATAATGAGGTACCTGTAACCACGCAGCAGGTAGAAATTTCACAAAGAAAAATTCCCAAAAATTGGCAAAATTTTCAGAAAGGGAAAAATAGAGTTATCGTAAATCAGCATAGATATTGAAATAGAAACTCTCTAATTTCATAATTGTGATGATAAAATACAGTATAATGAGGTACCTGTAACCATACAGCAGGTAGAAATTTCACAAAGAAAAATTCCCAAAAATTGGGAAATTTTTCAGAAAGGGAGAAATAGAGTTATCGTAAATCAGCATAGATATTGAAATAGAAACTCTGTAATTTCATAATTGTGATGATAAAATACGGTATAATGAGGTACCTGTAACCACGCAGCAGGTAGAAATTTCACAAAGAAAAATTCCCAAAAATTGGCAAAATTTTCAGAAAGGGAAAAATAGAGTTATCGTAAATCAGCATAGATATTGAAATAGAAACTCTGTAATTTCATAATTGTGATGATAAAATACAGTATAATGAGGTACCTGTAACCATACAGTAGGTAGAAATTTCACAAAGAAAAATTGTAAAAATTGTCAGAAAATTTCAAGCAGGAAAAATGGAGTTATCGTAAAACAACGTGAATGTTAAAATATGAAGTTTGTTCCCATTTTAATTTTCACGATGGTGCTTACGTAATTCGTTTGAAAAAGGGTCGTAATTATCGAAGACCGCGTGGAACTGCGAATCGCATACTTTTTTCGCCCGGTGCAAAATACTGCCGATATACACGCGGCATTTATCGTTACGGTCACCTTAACTCAATTAACGTAGCTGCACGCTGTAATTACGCTTATCGCTCGATTACCTCGAGCGTTTCATTTACGCTGGCCAAATGGTTTATGCGGTGTTAAAACAACGACGCTGTTCGCGAATTTGGCGCGTATCGTCTGCGAACATCTCTATCGATACCAATATGGTTAATCATTGGACGTCAATGTTTCTACTGCGATTACAATGACATCATAGTCATTCCAAACTTGGAGTTTGAGTTTAAAAGTAAATTTGGGCTAAGAAGCTGAAGTCTCAAATTTGTTTAACGAATTCAGAATATTTTAGGTAATCATCAGTATATGTAAGTGAAAAAGAATTAAAGTCTTTTAAAATATAAAAAATAAATTTCTTTTATATAGTGAAAATATTTTTGACAGTTTAGAGATGAGGATGAATTTTAATGAAAAAATTAAAGATTCGAATTTATTTAGCGTTTAATATTTAGTCAAAATATTTTGGTTAATCTAAAGTCAGGTATGAAATTAAAGCAAACCTAAAAGTTTCAAATTTTTCTAATAAGATTGAATAAATTTTGTATAATTTTAATTTAATATTAAATTTAAAGGAAGAAATGGAAGTCTCATATTTGTTTGGTCTATTAAAAATATTTAGAGTGGTTCAAAGTTTGGTATAAAATTAAATGCAAAATCTGGAATTACAAATTTGTCTGATAAATTCAGAAAATGATGGTTATTATAAATTTAATAGTAAATTATAACGAAGAAATGGAAGCTTTAAATTTTTTTAATATATTGGAAATATCTTAAGTAATCCAAAGTCAAATGTGAAATTAGGAGCAAACCTAAATGTTTCAAATTTTTCCAAACAAGATTGAATAAATTTCGTATAATTTTAATTTAATATTAAATTTAAATGAAAAAATGGAACCTTCATATTTATTTAGCATATTGATAATACTTTGAGTAGCTCAAAGGCAGGTATAAAATTGAAGCCAACCTAAGAGCTTCAAATTTGTCTGATAAATTTCAAAAATTGTTGATAATCTAAAATTTACAATAAATTTAAGCGGAGTAACTGAAGCTTAGAAATATTTTGAGTGATTTAAAATAAAAAATAATTAAAATAGAGAATTTCAAATTTCAAATTTATCCGATGCTTTGAAAATATTTTAGATAATTTAAATTTTATACTAGGTGAATAGAAACTAAATTATGCGAGGATAATTTTAGAAAATATCACGAACTCACCAAGTATTCCATCGATGGAATGATTTCTTCGAGGATCGTCACCGGGACGTGTCTGGTTCGTAGGACCACGAAGCAGCCTTGAAATACTGGAAACTGATGGTGCTGATGCTTTGTCACAGATACCATCCTGCTGGCAGAACCACGTTGGACCAGTTAGTATACTAATGGAAATTGGCTAAATTTTATTTTCTTCCTTTTCTTATATATCTAATCAGCTATTTAAAACTAATTATATTCTTCACTTTTGAATACTCATACTGTTATTTAAACAAAAATTACGATTGCAAAACTTCATGTCAATGATACGACGAATAATAACATGTCAAAAATTGCATAAATAAAATAGACACAGAAGAGAAAATTTTGTAATATAGATAAATAAGGATCTTTTATTATAAATTACAAACTATTTTAATAAATCTACAAGGAGGGTCAAAATTGTTAATTAAATTAATAAAATTGATTGTCATGGAGGGGTTTAAGTTACAATAAATTGATTTGTATTGACACTTCTCACAGGAATAAAATATTGAAACAAATTTTTTCCTATTTTTACAATTTTGTTGTTTAATCAAATAGTGAAAATGGAATGAATAATATTAATCTTTGAAATATTTAACTCAATTATTACACACTTATGCAACATATATTCTTAACTTATTTTATATGTTTTTAACTTATTTATTTTCTACAATATTTCAAACTAGTCAAATAATTTATAGATTAGTCCATATAACAGTCATTAATTAAATCAACCATTCAATAAAAATCATAATTAAAATTTCCTAAGACAACAACGAAGATAATATTGATAATTTAAACAAAAATAGAAAATCACAACAATTAAATAATGCTTAAAAGTGCCTTATGATAGGAATGTAAATAATATTAATGAATTAAAAATAAATATACAATTAAGACAATAACTATCTGAAGTATATTATTGTAATACAAACAAACATGTTATAGCGATTAGAGTATAAATACACTATAAGTATTACCAAAACGAGTATTTTCAGAGACATATTGTAGAAGTTGAAGTAAAATATTTGTTATAATCTTCAAAGTATGCCTAATTTCAAAGAAAAATCTTCACAAATGTTTAAACATGTATATAAGTATATATACACAAGAAAATTATAACAACAAGTGAATGATATAATGCAGACGTTGTCAACAGACCTTTATCAGTTTCTCTCGAATTTCCCAGCTGAATATACCAGGGTTCTGTCTTTTCATATCCTCGATCCTCGCCTCGACTTCCGGTGTGGCGACTCGTGGTTTGCTACCGCCGATCACGCCTGGCCTTATCGATCCCGTTTCCTGATATCGATTCAAGATTTTCGACACGCAGCCATGCGAAACCCTTAATTGCCTCGAGATTACACACGGCCTGACGCCGGCAGCCGCCATTTCTACTATCTTCAAGCGAATGTGATTCGGCAGTGGGCGCCCGTTAATGAAGACACCTCCGAGTTGATTCACACGACCTTGTCCTGGAAAAGAAAGAATTATGCACACCTAATTCCTACTGTATAAATTCTTTCTGCGATTTTTGAATTGCGACTACCTTATATTTTATTCATATTTTCGGTGAATCAATCACGTACCAATGATCTTCGAATCTATTTTCACTATGAAATACCTAAATTTCGTAAAGTATAATACAATCTTCTCTTTTCCCAAGTTACCAATTTTTCTTTCAAAATTTCTAAGGACTAGGGACTAGGACCAATGACCTTCGAATCTATTTTCACTGTGAAATAGGTAAACTGATATAAAGTACAATCTTCATTTCTCTCAAGTAACCAATTTTCCTTCCAAAATTTCTAGGGACTAGGGACTAGGGACTAGGGACTAGGACCTTCGATTCTATTTTCGCTGTGAAATACCTAAATTGATATAAAGTACAATCTCCATTTCTCCCAAGTAACCAATTTTCCTTCCAAAATTTCTAGGGACTAGGGACTAGGATCTACGATTCTATTTTCACTGTGAAATACCTAAATTAATATAAAGTACGATCTCCATTTCTCCCAATTAACCAATTTTCCTTCCAAAATTTCTAGGGACTAGGGACTAGGGACTAAGGACTAGGGACAAGGGACTAAAAACTAAGGACTAGAAACTAGGGTCTCCATTTCTCCCAATTAACCAATTTTCCTTCCAAAATTTCTAGGGACTAGGGACTAGGGACTAGGGACTAAGGACTAGGGACAAGGGACTAGAAACTAGGAACTAGAAACTAGGGACTAAAAACTAGGGACTAGGGACTAGAAACTAGGGACTAAGGACTAGAAACTAGGGACTAGGGATTAGAAACTAGGGACTAAAAACTAGGGACTAGGGACTAGAGACTAGAAACTAGGGACTAGGGACTAGAGACTAGAAACTAGGGACTAGGAATTGGATTAGAAACTAGGGACTAAAAACTAGGGACTAGGGACTAGAGACTAGAAACTAGGGACTAGGAACTACGGACTAGGAACTTCTAAGAACTTGAATTCCATAAACAACAGTCACATCCAAAGTTCCAACTTTTAAATAACCCTAACTCGAACCTGAAATAGACGCTCATCGCGATTTCAATCACCGAGCAACATCCTCTATCCTCGCAAAACATCCCTCTTGCACCCTTCCAAATTTATCCAGAAGAAAATCCGAATGCAGCCAGTGGCAGAAATCGCAGGAACTTCGTCAGAGGACATTAATGAGAGACAAAGGTGAAACGCAAGACCCGAAGGCTGGCTAGAGCAAAATGAATATTTTCCAGGATAAGATTGACCGGATCAGAAAATCCAGTAGCACGCAAGACGCCGCTCAAACGCCGCTAATTACCAGCAATTAGTGGCCACTTTAATGGGCTTAATTATAATAACGAAGTCAAACAAACGACGTAACGCAAGGGGACAACGAAGCGTCAGTGAAAAAGGATCCCCACGGTTGGAGCGGCAGCCCCTTTGAAAAAGTCAGCGAAGGAGGAACACCAGAAGGAGGAAAGAAGCGGAATGAGATGCCATGGTCGGCCCCGCGGCCTTTTACGAGGTCCATCATGGGACTTCGCGAACGAAGAACTTCACGTGACGCAGAGATCTACGAAAAGTAACGTGTCACGGGTTACGGTCCTGGTTTTGCGTCCAGCAGTAAAACGTGGGTCTGGACCAGTAGAGATTCGTTCTAATCTTTCCTCTTGAAAATTCACTCATTGCCCTCTGTACGTACTTTTAGGAGAAATGTTAGCATGAATGATTGTTATGAGTTTACATGTATTTGGCCTTGTCGAGGTAAGTGTCATCAATGACGTGAAATTCATGTACACTTTTCACATGCAAATTCCTGGTTTCATGTGGTACACTGGATTTTTAATTGCGAGGTAGAGTAGAAATGTGGGGAAAAATAGGAAAGAAACAAAGTTGGCAATGCGAGAATTGAGTTTTTGGAAGAAACGAGTGGGTTTGGAAGGTCTGTGTTCGATGTTGAAATTTTATTTGAATTTGGAAATGGTAATCTAATTATTTAATTTGATGAAAGAGTGTGGAGAAACTAATTTTACTGTTAGTATTTGATAAAGTAATCTTTAAGCTATTTTAGAGGTTATGTTACAGTCTCTGCTTGGTATTGAAATTTGAAGAAATTAATTTAGTAATTTAATTTGGCATGGGAATATGAAGAAATTAATTCAATTATTTAATTTGATAGGTGAGTTTAAAAATACTAATCTTACTGTTAGTATTCAATAAGCTGATCTTTGAGCTATTTTAGAGGTTATGTTACAGTCTCTGCTTGGTAGTGAAATTTGAAGAAATTAATTTAGTAATTCGATTAAGTTTATTTAATTTAGTAATTTAATTTAGTGTGGAAATATGAAGAAATTAATTCAATTATTTAATTTGATAGATGAGTTTAAAAATATTAATCTTACTGTTACTATTCGATAAGCTGATCTTTGAGCTATTTTAGAGGTTATGTTATAGTCTCTGCTTGGTATTGAAATTTGAAGAAATTAATTTGTTACTTCGGTTAAATTTCTTTAATTTGAGAATTTAACTTGGTGTGAGAATTAATCTTAGTATTCGATAAAGTGATTTTTTAATTATTTTGTAGTTTTTTCGCAAACAAAAGTTATCTACCAGGAACTAGCGTTTATTAATGGGAACACAGTGTAGATAAGATTTAGGTAATCTAATAAAAATACCAGTAAAATTAGAATAAAAGTGCAGCAAGAAAAATGTAAATTTCCTGTGACAACCGATACTTAAATAGTAATAAAATCAATAGTGGTACAATTCGCAACATTATGAATTCATTATAGAGATACTACTCATGCAGCGATGTAAGGCGATATACGTTATAGATAGTGAGATTTATTATAGCATTATGCCACCGCTGATATTACGAATAACCCAAATTTAATTTTATCATCATGGGAACAGGTAGTTATAAAACAAAGTCATAAAATATTTTATTCTACCACTAATTTTTATTGAGTATAGTCTTGCTGAAATTAATTTCTTCATAGTCACACGGTAAAAAATTTAAATCGATTATTTTCTTCGTGTCAGTACTATACATTAATAGCAGCATAGTGTCATAATTAATATATAGATGTATATAGACGATATACCGACTGCCTGAAGTTAATACTTATTTCAAATTATTTAATCTTTCGTATTATAGTTGTTGCTTTTTCCCATTGATAATATGCTTTGATAATGAAAATATACTGAAATGAAGGAAAATATGTATTAAATAAAACAGGGATAAATGTGGAATTTTAATTTTATTATCCTACATTAAAATAATTTATAGAAGAATTTACTCATAAAAGATAAAAGCAATTACCTAATTACTACGTATTTCATTTTTATGAAATCATAAATAAATGTTTTCAATCTTGTATATATAATTATTCTATAGTACAACTTCTATAGCAAATAAACAAATAATTTGAATTAACAATTTTAATTTGGAATTCATCAATTTATTCCATTTCAAAATTTAATTACTTTATTTTCAAGTATTTAAGATTGTAATGCAATAACTTACTGATAAATGATATATATAATATATACATTGTATATATATATAAACTGTCAATATTACACAAATATTACATACATTATTTTAATGAAACTGAAAATTAATAGATTCGTTTTCTAAGCTAAATGATCAAATAGAATGATCCGACAACAATATCTTCGTTTACTGATAACGATATAATTTGTAAATAAACAGAATAATTCAGAACATTGTTCGAACAAGCAATAAATGGTCATCATGATGATCATTTAAAACTTTGGATTAAGTACCTATTTACTACATATTTTATTTTAATGAAATGATAAATAAATATTTTCAATCTTTCACTATATTTCTATAGCAAATAAATAATTTAAATTAACAATTTTAATTTGGAATTCATCAATTTATTCCATTGAAAAATTTAATTACTCTATTTTTAAGTTTTTCAAATTATAATACAATAAATTACTGCTATATATAAACTGTCAACAGTATGCAAATATTACATACACTATTTTAATCAAATTAAAAATTAATATATTCATTTTCTAAGCTAAATGATCAAGTAAAATGATCTGACAATAACTTCGTTTACTGATAACGATGTAACTTGTAAATAACCCCAACAATTCAGAACTTTGTTCGAACAAGCAGTAAATTGTCATCGTGACCATCATTTAAAAGTTTGGATTCGATTAGCGTCCGAAAGTGGATAACACTTAGCACTGTAATAACACGATATTTTACTCAGCGGGAAAAGGTTCGAAATCGAAATTACCGAACCGAAACCGCGCCATCGATTATGGCTCGCGTGGATAATGGTATCGGTGCACGCGTGTAAATCATTTACGTTTCTCTACCACTTAATTAATTTCCCTCGCGGTCCCGTCGATTTGTATATTCGCGGTGGATTTGCATTAAAACGAGAAACGACTGTCGCCGAACAGCGAGAGTTTCGCGTGGTACCACCGCGACATAAAGTTTACGACGCGCGCGGGTAATTGGATGCGATAAAGAACCATTGTTTCCAACACATTGCTCGAGGGAGTGCTCTCGAGAGAGCTCTCGTAAGTCTTCTCGTATATGACGTCTCATTTCTTAGAGCGATGCTAGACGAAACGTTGAACTCTGTGCTAGTATCCGCGAATACTACTTTCCTATCCAGCCTCTCGAATCGAATCTGGTGACAAAGAAGTGGGTGATTGCGTGAAGTCGACTTCCACGTTCGAAATTCACGATGAAGTGCACGATTTGGTGTGCAGGCCTGACGAGATGCGATTGGGGATGAGACAGTGGTCAGAAAACATCTCTAATGTTATTGAAACTTGAAACTTTGGTTCAATGGCTGTATGAAAGGATTTGATTGTTTGGTGGTGTAGTAATAGCATAAGTCAGGTTCTAGTTCAATTTAATTATTAAGGCTTTCATTCTGTTACCTATACTGACATAATATTTATTGGAATAAGTCTCTTTG